GCTGCCTAACTCAGTGAATGGGTCTGTGCAAAATGCAATGGCTTCAGGCTCAAGCGTGAAAGTGGTAGAAGTGTCTGCGACCCTAGACTTGGACTACCTTTAGTTTGAAGCTGAAACCGTGGCGTAACAGCAAACCCAGAAACAAGAGCACCCTCCTCAACACACAACGCAGCTGCATCCGATTTTTTCAGAGGCTACAGGCTTCTGCCCGGTCACAGTTAATTACAAATTCTCCCACCCAAGGCAAGAAACATGCTTTGCAACACAACCGGTTCCCCAGACCAATGCATCATGTTGGATCGAGCAAGTGAAACCTCTTGCGACTCGCGCCGCCTCTAGCAGCAGCGCAGCCGGAAAAGCTGCAGAAACGGCGGTCGCCCCCAAGCAAGGTACTTACCTAGAAGCAAAAAGGATCTGGGACAACCAGCGTCTTCACGCCTCGTAAAGCTTCTCAATGCAATTCACTACGATGGCATTATGCTGCAGCCAGGCTTGATCGGATGCTGGCAACTCAGCCACATCTTCATGCCAGCGATTGCTGGTGACTACCATCTTCACTCCGTGAAGCCACACAGAATACGTGAAAATATTGGTTGCCGAATGCCCAAGCGCCACATTTTGCGTGGTTCCCTGAAAGATCTTGCGGTTGTTGGCCACAGTCGATGCTCTGCACTCGTCGAATATGATCGTCTCATGCACCAAAGGATTGAAAGGTCGAAGGTCTGGTTGGTCCGCGGAGCCACAATCGACAACCAGCGTCTTTCCAGGGCCAGAAAGTGAACATCCAAAAATTGTTTTGCCGAGGCATGAGGCCCCGGTCAAAACAAGGAATCGCCGTCGGAACATGGGCTTCTCATACTGTGGCAGAAACTCCGCCTCCACGATTTCGATGCGTGCAGCTTTCTTTTGCAGCGGCAATAAAGCCTGCTCGACGGCATGCTTCTTCTCCACAATTGCCTGGTCACTCTCGCATTGGCTGCAAAATGCCAGATTGTCTAAATAGGCCTTCACGTGCTTTCTGCACTTGACATATTCATCGCGAGCAGCTGTGGTGCTTATTTTGTTGGTCTGCCACAAGTTGGTCACCCAATCTGGACTAATAGGATACGAGTTGAAGGCGCGATAGTTAGTTTGCATGCACACTCCGCCCACCTTGGGCACCTGGAGATAGTAGTGTCCCTGATCATAGCTGCGACGAGTGCTGCGACCCCGCGCCCGTGGCGCATCCACAGAAGCGTACGGGTGGGCATCTCTAAACCGCAAGTCCGAAGCAGCCAGGCTCACAGACTTTGCAGAATCAAACATGCAATGAATGTGGACTGATGGAACGCCAGTGCGGGCTGTCACCTCGCAGTGAAGCTCAAGAGCCACTGTCCAGCGATCCAGACGAAACTTCTTCTGCACGCCCTGGAAAAAATCCAAGAAGCTCTGCCACAAAGAACCAACACTAGGGTGTTGCCGTAGAGTGACGCACAGCTCCTCGATGGAGGCGGCGGCGCCAACATCTGAAATCCTGGACCAGCTTCCCGACCAACGAAACATGGTGCCATTCCCCCGAAAGCGCGTCACGCACGGCTCACCCAGTACCACTGGCTGCTGCAAGGTTTGCCAACCTCTCTCAACACTAGTGGCCGCATCGGCCAGCTCGCTGGGAAAGGTCATTGTCGACATCTGCCGCGCTCGTACATCGAGAGGAACTGTGGTCCACTCACTGCGAAGCCTCTGGCGGGCTTGGTGGCCCGAAAGCCCTCTGGCCCTCATCTCGGCGGCAACCCAAGCATCTCGCACACTGGTTTTCACAAGGGTCCTCTCCTGGTGAGTGGAGGCGGGGGTTATCACGGGCTCTGCAACAGACGAAGCAGGCTGCTTTCCAACCAAGCGCCGTCGCTTGGGCACGGACTCCATGGGCCGAGGACTGTGGCACAAGCACCTAAGTAACATAAGGAAAGTTGACATTGCTGTGTGCAAACGTTCTCCCATCCTAGTCCACCAACTGCAAGCAGCAAGTGTGTCTGCCACCACTTAGCTGTTGAGAAAATTAACGCCAGCGAGTTTGCGGCGCCTGCACCACTGGAAGCCAACAGCCAACAAGTGTGCGGCGTGCCAAGAACACTCTCCCATCCTAGTCCACCAACTGCAAGCTGCAAGTGTGTCTGCCACCACTTAGCTGTTGAGAAAATTAACACCAACGAGTTTGCGGCGCGTGCACCGCTGGAAGCCAACAGCCAGCAAGTGTGCGGCGTGCCGAGAACACTCACCAGGAACGGCGCGGGACCAGAAATGCCGAGCTAACTCACAGGTTTGTCATGGGCCAGGGCCAGCCAGGACCATCATGCAACGCAAACCCGAATGGCTTGAAGACATGGTCCGGGGTTTGCGCGGTGGGAGAATAGTATAATTATCACTAAAACCCAAAAGCCAGGACCATGCTTGGACCCTGAAAAAGGCACGAGCTCGTCAGGGAGCATGTGTGAAGCCCCAGCTTTTGCACAATCGCGGCTGCTGCCTCAACTACTAGTGGTCTCCTGTCCGAGAATGCGAGGTTTTTTGGCAGTGGCAAAAAAAAAAAGTGCTGCCAGCGAGGCGACACTAGTGGTCTCCTGTCAGGAATCTGAAATTGTAGGCAGTGATAAAAATTCGTGTTTCCAATACTCGCAAAGTGTCCAGCAAGGCTGAGGTTGTCGGCAGTGACAAAATTTCCAGAGAGGCGACGTGTTTCCAATACTCGCAAAGTGTCCAGCAAGGCTGAGGTTGTCGGCAGTGACAAAATTTCCAGAGAGGCGACCGCGTCAAACACCCGCAAAGGGGCAGTGACAAGAATTCGTGTCTCCAGCGACAACCGCCGCCACGACAATGACCACAAACAACAGGTCGACGAAGAGCCCTCCGTCAATGTAGGCACCTACGCAGGGCGAGGGCACAAGCAAACAACGGACAACAGGCACTGCACCACCACCACCACCACCACCACCACCACCACCACCACCACCACCACCACCACCCAACAACAACAAAAACAACAACGAGAAAAACAACAAGAACGACGACAACGACAACGGAAAAAAACAAGCGACAAAGACTACGGCGACGACGACAAGAACAAACACGACAAGAACGACAGCAAAGACAAACGACAGACGACAGACGACACACGACACGCGACGCACGACACACGACAACGACAACAAGGACAACACACCAAGGCACGGGGTCCGCGAAGAGCTCCCAGTCGATGTAGGCACCTGCGCAGGGCGAGCGGGCGGAAAAGAACGGAACACAAAGACGATCACCACCACCACCACCACCACCGCCGCCCACGACCATCCGCGACAGAAGAACGAGACAGATAAACAAGCGTAACAGCAGCAGCAGCAGCAGCAGCAGCAGCAGCAGCAGCACGACGACGACAATGACGACGACCACGACGACGACGACGACGACGACGACGACGACGACGACAATGACGACGACCACGACGACGACGACGACGACGACGACGACGACGACGACAACAACAACAACAACAACAACAACAACAACAACAACAACAACAACAACAACAGACAAACGACACACGACACGCGACACGCGACACGCGACACGCGACACGCGACACGCGACACACGACACACGACACACGAGACACGACACACGACAACGAGAACAAGGACAACGCACCAAGGCACGGGGTCCGCGAAGAGCTCCCCGTCGATGTAGGCACCTGCACAGGGCGAGCGGGCGGAAAAGAACGGAACACAAAGACGACCACCACCACCACCACCACCACCACCACCGCCGCCACGACGACCCGACAGCAAGAACAAGAAAGAAAAACAAACAGCTACGACAACAGCAGCGACAAACCAGCGACACCAGCAACGACAACAGCGACAGCAGCAGTAGCAACAGCAACAGCAACAACAACACCGAACCGACGGCGACGACAACGCCGACGACGAAGCAGCAGCCTGGGCGCACACTCATCCAAGGGCCCTACCGAGCGTGGCAAACACATGATCATGGCTTGGACGCTGGCGCGCTATGGCCATGTTGGGCAGGCAGCTCTGGTCTGATCCGAGTCTCATATAGCACGCCATGTACAGCTCGCACATGTGGCCATCAAAAGCACCACAATCAAGCTGACACATCTTCACGGCGGTGGCAAGCTAAATCTTTTGCGCGCTCAGCTGGGCAGGCAGGCAAGAATGAGATGCTATTGGACGACACAACTCCAGTAACTCCAGTGTCAGCTCAGCTGTCACCACAAAGCAAGTAGAATCGGCCTGAAACATTTCCAGGGTCAGCTTAGCTGTCCGAATGTCTCAGCCGGCTCACCTGATCAGAAAGTTGTGCCAACAGAGGCACCTTTGCAAAGGTGCGTCCATTCTCCCCGCTCAGTCAGCAGCGGACTTCCGCGACAAGAGCCAGACGAGATCGGACGATGAAAGCCCCCCGGCTTTCTTCAACAGCCGGCTGCGCTTGCGCGCCTGCGCAAATGCATGCTGGCCCGACGACAACACTTTTTCTTGTTTGTGAAGGGGCAAGAAAAAAAAGCACTCGAGCTGGCGTGTGGGTTAGGTCACTCAAGTGTGCTTATGCCAATAGCAAACCTCAGCTGGACAGGCCAGGCCTCATTCTTAATCTCTCGGGTGGCATCCTTCAACTGTTTCTTGAGGACCAAGCGAGCGGCGCGCAAAGCCACAAGTGGATCGACTGGAGGCCTGCCACCTTCGGTCTCCGGATTTGGCACGGGTCTGTCTGCAGGTGTGTCGGCCATGGCGCACACTGAAAAAGGCTTTGCCAAGCGAGGAAGAACAAAAGCAAGCCAAGCCGAGCTGGAGCCCAAAACGCACTCAGGCCGCGAGTAGCGGTCACAGGGTTCACTCTCAAGGCCGAAAAAACGCAGCGTTTCAAGCTTCAGGCCTGCGGGCCCCTCCAGTGCCTCAAATTTAATTTGGGCACGGTGGCGCACTGCCTGCGGCCGTGTGTCCAGACAGTAACTAAAACAGGCTCCTGTAGGCATAGCTCATTCTGCGCCGTTTTGGCCAGATGACACTTAGCTCCGCAGCACTCGGTTTTACCGGGGGCGGAAACTCAGTTGGATGCTGCATGAATTCTCTCAGCCCGTGATGGATGTAATTGATGTCACACCCACACCCCACGGCCTTGAACGCACGCTGCCACTTCCTGCTGGCAAAGAACCATCGCGGCGCCTGGCTTATGTGCCACAGCCAGGCAATTGGCTGCGGCTGTCCATCTGCTTCTGCCTCCCTTTCCTCCTGCTGGCGGCGTCGCAAGAATAGTTTGAAAGATGCAAAAGCAAACAGATCTAGGGGTTGCACCAGTGCTGTAGCGGAGGCAGGTACAAATATCAGTTGGATGTTATTCGTACGTGCAGCGCGTAAAACTTCCTTGGGAAGATGCGCGCCTGCCACGTCTAACAGCAAGATTGGCTTGTGGCTTGGAACCCAAGGCGCCACAGCTTCTTTCAGGGCTTTGAAGATCAAGATCATGGTTTCCGAGGTTGCCCAAGAGGACTTGGCACGAAGAAGCTGCAGTCTGGTCTTTGGCAATGCGTGATAAGCTTTGAACAATTTCTTCGGCATCCGTGCAGAACTGCTAATCAAAAAATGAGGGAGGACTGCTTGGACAGCCGGGTTGCTTGCAATGAGGGCCACATAGGTGAAGGCGCCCCTTCGCCGGTCCGGGCGCACTCGCCGATGCGGCCCTGCGGGGTGCATGTTGCACCAGTGGCTCTTTGCTACCACACAGCCCTGACAACAGTCGGGGCTGTAAGACACTGACGTCTCGTCAAGGTTAAGCCATAGCGGCTCCTGCTCGAGAGCATGGCACTTGGCGGTCACATAAGACACGGTGCGCCAGAACATGTGCACCTGATAGGGCAAAACACATGGCAAAGTTAACCAAAACAACACACACATTTTCCCTCCCATTGCCCATCACTTCCGGGCCGCAAAAGAAGCCCGCTTTCCGGGCTACATACATAGCGCCCGTTCCTGAAAATTCCCCACTTTCTAGACCTCCTGATGGTCCCCAAAAAGGGCCCTCAAAACCCCGAAATGCCCCCGCCTTTTGTCGCAAAAGCTCCGGATCCACTTGGTCCGTCTCTCGCAGCTTTGCCCTGCGAACACTCCAGCGAGCGCGCCACCGAGCAACCGCTTTGCGAATGCCCCTGCTGGTGGCTGGAGCCGGTGCAGGCAAAGCGTTGTCGCGCATCTCGCGCTTCAGTCTGTCGAAAACATCTGCTGACAGAGGCGCAGTTCCATGTGCGAGATTTTGCTTCTTAACCCAGGAAAACACTCCACGCTCTGCCAACATTTGCCGCGCAAAGCGAACCGCTTGCTCCCACTGGACGTTCGTGTCATCAAACATGCACAGCAAATCATTTAAGTCTGCCTGCAGAAACATGCGGTCAACCAAGGCGCTGGTTGGATATTGCGGGTGCTCTGCCTTCAAAGTAGTTAGTTGCTGCGCAGCTTGGAGAGCGGCCTCTTTCTGCCACTCCGACAAAGTGTACACCGCTAGGACCTTCTTCACACTGAGGGAAGTGAGGCCACCTGCTTCCAGCGACGCTGCACGTCTCTTAGCCTGCTGCTCACAACTTCTGATTTGGCGCATGTTCTCTGCAAGCGCGGCCCTGAGGTGCGACTGCTGCAGTTCGGCCGCCATGACGAAGTGGGGGTGACCCTGCTAAGGTTCACATGGCTCTACAAGGCTTCTCAAACTCACATGTGTTCGCACAGGCTGTGCTAGATAACACCATACTCATCTCTATTTCCGTCCCTGCCTGTGTTTACCCACACATAAAAAGATACGTGTACACATGTGGCAGAGCCCTGTTTGTGAGGCTGCGGGTGGGGCTTCAACGGGGCATGCCTAAAACCAATAACTGGCCTTGACCTGCAACCTCTGCTGACTGTGGAGTGGCCTGAAACAAAAACTCTCGCAAAGAAAAAAACTGGGCAGGTATCCAAGCTTCGTACCCCTTCTCACAGAATCTTCCATCTGTCGGCGTCTGGTTAGAAGAAGAAGGCTGTCTTCTAAGTGTTTACACCGGTATATATATACATATATATATATGTATATATATCTACATATGTATATCTTTCTATATGTATATATATATATTATATATATATATATATTATATACATATATTGTGGTTGGCAGTGTGTGTGTGTGTGTTACCACACATGTGGCTGAACGTACAGTTTTGCAGTTGATGGAAGTTAACCTTGCTATTCTCATCCAAACGAAACATGATGTCGGCTACCTGTGCCGGTTGGCAGTGCTGCGTTCAGTATTCCTCAGAGTTGTCAGCTTAGCACGCCGGGCAGGCCAAGCCGCCGGACATCCCAGCCATCACGCAGGCCGTTGTTGTTTGGGTGTTCTTTGATCGTGGTTCAGGGTTTTTTGCTTTTCAACGTGTAGGCCCAGATCACGGAGACGGTGATGGAGGCCAGGTTGGTTTCTCGCTTGCTCCACGCAGCAGAAAAATCTCCACACAGGCCATCCCAGGGGACTCATGCAGAGCTTGAAAAGGGGACTCATGCAGAGCTTGTGCGCGTGGTGCCCGGCTGCAGGCCCAGATCACGGAGACAGTGATGGAGGCCAGGTTGGCATCGTGCTTGCTCCACGCACTGTGTTGTTTTTCTGCACACGGGCCATCCCAGAACCGCCTGCTCCTTTGGAGGCTGATGGTGAAAAGGGGACTCATGCAGAGCTTGTACACGTGGCGCCCGGCTGCAGGCCCATGTGCAGATCACGGAGACAGTGATGGAGGCCAGGTTGGCTTCTTGTAGAAATCTGCACACAGGGCATCCCAGAACCGCAATGCTGATGGTGCGTTGGAGGCTGATGTTGAAAAGGGCACTTGTTCAGAGCTTTGTGCGCGTCCGGCTGCAGGGCCAGATCCTGGATTGTTGTGCCAAGTGTGAGTTGCACCCTGCGTTCCCTGTCACACTTGACCTCACATCCAATGCATGGCAAAGCTTGTGGCCCATACCTGCTTAATGAGGACACAGTGCAGCTTTTATAACTCATGGCTTGCCTGACCCAGCGCGCTTTCACTGGTAAATGACTCTGGTGTGTTTCTCGTACATTTCTCATGCACCTTTCATACGTTTCTCATGTGCTTGCATAGAATTATCATCATACTCTTCCCGTGTGTCTCATATGGTCTCATGTGTAACCCATAGGTGTTTCTCCCCTTACATTATCTGAAATATATAAGAAGCCAAAAGAGTTCAAAATTCAACCCAAACATAAGGATCCTTATGTTTGGGTTGGGTTTTGCACTCTTTTGGCTTCTTCTATCACGCATTTCTCACAACTGCACGTGTGGCAGATAGTATGTTAAGCTTACCGTGTCTTATCACATGCTTCTCATGCTTACTCATATGCTATATGATGGAAAGCGTCTAAGTGCGATAACATCTGAGAATTACATTTAAAAACAAATGCCATATGATAATCTGTGAGAAAATATCAGAAACGTATGATAGATCTGATAATGTGTGAGACTATATGAGAAGCACATATGAGACACTATGTGAATATATGAAAGTACAAACAACTTGTGATATGATGTGAGAAAACACATACCCCAACATATGACAACATATCAGAGCACCTGAGAAAATATGAGAACATATTCTTAAAAATATGTTAAGTGTGTGAGGGAACATCAGAGAGCATATGAGGATCTAAGGGCACATATTAGAACTGTGAGAGGTGCATAATGCGATAGCTATTAGAAACCATGACAGACATGTGAGAGACCTATGGAACTATGTGACACTATGGGAACGTGGGACACATACGTTTGAGAAAATATGAAAATATGAGAAACTATGTTAAAATATGAGAAAATATGAGAAGTATGATAAGTATGAGAAACTATGAAAAATATGAGAAAATGTGAGACATATGAGAAAATATGAGAAATGTAAGAAAACATGAGAAACTATGAGAGACTATAGTTCTCATATTTTCTCATATTTCTCATATTGTCTAACATTTCTCATAATTTCTCACATTTTCCCACATGTCTCATACTTTCTCAGAGTTCACATACTTCTCATATTTCTCACATTTTCTCATATGTCTCACATCTCTCATAGTTTCTCATATTTCTCATATTTTCTCATATCTCCCATAGTCTAACACAGTTCTCATATTTCTCATATTTTCCCATGGACCCGTACATTGTCTCACAAGTTGTTCTCAGTTTCTCACATGCACTTCTCATAATACATTCAGGTTTATCACGCATTATCATATCTTATCATATGGCACTCATACAGTCTCAAACTTTGCATCTTTTCTCATATGTTCTCATATTTTCTCATATTTCTCATATTTTGTCACTTGAGAAATATGAGACACTATGAGAACATATGAGAAAATATGAGAAATATGAGGAACTATGAGAAAATATGAGAAATATGAGAAACTGTGAGCATATGTGAGAACATATGAGAAAATGTCAAAAGCATGTCAGACACCTCTGTGCCACAAAGTAGGAAACTATTAGAACACGTTGGAGAGCGATGCCTCCTCTCTGTGTCCACCTATAGCTCTGAGTTTGATGCCCAGGCAGAGGACTTGCTTGCAAAGGCCAGACCCCAGGACTGATGCGTGAAGTATTGGTAACGTAGGTGTCTCAGAAAGGGGGGTGTCTCACAAAAGAGGGGTGTCTTGAAAACTTTGGTATGAGAGACGCGTGCAAGAAACATTCTTCTGAGGCTGGTCTAGCACGAGACGTTTGCAACATCCAGTGGCCAGGTCCTCAAGAGCAGACTGCTACTTCAGGGGGGGGGGGGGGGGGGGGGGCAGGACGGCAGACATGTGCATCATGCGTCTTGGAAGTGTTCCACTGAGCCAGGTCTAGCACTATCCAGTGGTCTAGTACAGCCCAGTGGCCAGGGCCTCAAGTGCAGACTGCTACAAGTGCGGGGGCGGGGCAGGACATCACAATAAATCATCAGGCAGGAGAGAGGTCTGTAACCAAATCACGTCATGCATGACGGATGGCTTGACTGACATGATGCCTTTGAAGCCTGCAGCAAGTTGAAGCTCCAGCAAGCTCTGCTACTTGCCATCATGGCAGCTCCCATCGCGCCAACGCCAATCTTGACGGTCGACTTGATCATCGAGTTTGTCACGGACATGCCCGTGGTCCCCTTCTTCTTGCCATCGCCTCAGAAGCCGAATCCAAGCAAGCCAGGGGCTGCCTGATTGAGTTCAAATTGCACACTGGCAAGGCGAGTGGTGAATGACAGCACCAAGAGTACTCTGGCACAGACCGGGTGGAAAGACTCTAAGGATTCCGTCCGACTCTTAGCCATGCTTCACTCGCAAGGGATGCTGCCTGGCTAACTGTCACGCCCAGGTCTTGCAGCACAAGTGCTTTGCAGACTTGTCGGAGCACGCCTTCCTCACGGTGTCAGCCATCAACAAGTCCGATAAGTGAAGCCCTGAGCATGCATCCTGCCTAGCACACACCTAGTTACACTAGTGTTTGGCACACATCACATTAGTGCTTTGCTTGACGACTCAGGACCATTGCGACCTTCAGCTTTGCCAGAGCCCCAACAGAGAGCTCAAGTTGCTAGCATTGGCTCTCGCATGGCTTTGGAGTGGACCAAGCTGCAAAGCAAAATCCAGTTGCCAGCCTTGCAAGGCCACCTCAACGCTCACGTCCGAGTACACCATGAAAACCCTGATGAACTCGACTGGTCAGACCCTCGGGCTTCGGGCGAAAGTGCGCGGCGACTGGCATTCTGAACAAGCCTTCCACGGGCTAAGACGCGAAGGCTGGGCGAACAGATCCATGCGTTGCTCCCCTCAAAGGGTGCCTTGCCTTGCAGGCCCACAGCAGCCACCATCAGCCCCGACCGCGGAGGATCTGGAGCTGGAGTCACTGGACCATGTGGATCACGCAGATCCAGTGGATCCAGTGGATCCAGTGGATCGAGCGGGTCGAGTGGCTCCGGATCTGGTGGGGTCCGAGTCAGTCTCGTCCTGGGAAAACGTGGGGTCCGCCAGCTTACCGCACGCCAGCTTCAGCAGCGAGCCAGAGCCCGCCAGTCCACCGAACCCAGAGAGCTCATGGACTTGCTCTGATGACTACGATCGCTGCCCGGACCTCAGTGTGCCATCAAAAGGACTCCCCCACTTGTTAGCCACAGTCACTCGCCATTCTGCCAGATCCGCACCTCCACAGCTTCGACAAGTTCTACCTGAATCTCGTGGAGAATCCGGAGTCTCTTGGTCTCGCTGGCTCCGCCGCCCGGCCGCATTGACGCCACGCATACATTCAATGTATACTACTCTGACCCCACACAGGCATGCGCAGGAGTGCATTAGTATGCATTTCACACTGACTTGCACCTTGATGCACGCCCACACAGTGCGCACGCAATTTGCAGCCTCTCCCCCAACGCACATGCAAGCAACAAACTCAGGACTACCTCCAGGACTTCCACGCCGGTCTGAAGCCCAATGGCACCTATGCCGGTGGGCACATCACCATGCAGACGTGCCCCAGCCTCTTGAGCACACACCCATGTGCCCGCAAGCCTACATTCTTGCAGTGCCCTCCAGGTACTTTGCAA